ACGAAACAAAATATCATTGCACTTAATACAGGCTGTTCTTGAACAGCAAAAGTTAAGTAGTTACAGTCAAAATAGAATTTGCCCAGAAGCTTGATCGTAGGCAGTATTTTTGATTTCTGTCAAGTGTGCTGAGGAGGTGTGACTTCTTCTTCATTGTAACTTGTAATTATAACATGATTAGTGCCTTTGATTGTTTTTTCATGTGGACTTGATGGTTTGATGTAACAAAGTAGTACTTTGCCTTGGATAGCTTGAGTGATCTGATGCAGCAGATTCATGTCCCAGGCATAGAAAATAGTAAGCATGTTGCAGTTAAAAATATTAGTAATCAATGTGAGTTTAGACAAATATTGTACCTTATTGTCAATTTGTTGTAGGTGACTGGCATTGATGCACATCAGTGTTTCAGCTACTTCTCCCAATGTGACAACGTGTATCTTAGCAGTTGAGTCAGTTATGATAAGGTAGATGCAGGCTCTATATGATCAAGTTGTTTTGTTAGTTATTAAAGTGATAAATATTTTGTGTTTATATGATATATTTGTCACTTGCCTGGGAATAGGACTAATATATAGTAAAGCTTGGAAATTAATAGGACTTACAGTTTTTTGTGGTCACTTTAAGCCTTAATGATAGGACAACAGGGGACTCTTCTCTTGCTATGATAGAAGCACCTTCATTAGTTTGGAAATCGTTGTAAAGTGTCATGAGCAATGGCCTTCTTCTGAAAAGGAGAAATTTTGTGGTTAGTAGATGATTGTTGTAGTTTGAGTAAACTATAGCTGTTTTTATAGTGAATGATGATGTACTCTTGATTGATGATGATATAATCCCTGGCTGGAACTGTCTGTTTATGAATTCGAACCTCTCTTGGGGGTAAAGCATGAATCATTGCGCCAAATATATCTAAAGTAATTTTTTTGTTAATTGTGTAGTGTAAATATAAACAATAGTACTGAACAGAAAAGATGGATGAAATATTAAAATAATTATATCTATCAGCATGTGTGTAGACATGCAGGTTGGAGATGCTGTCCAAATGTAAATATGGTGGAATGGTTGCAATTTCCAGTTCATTGATTGGTTGAATGAGAGTTGTAGCTGTCAAGATCCAGTAGAATGGATATTGTTGTGTTGAGGATGATTGTTGATTCATGCAAACTGTTGCATTGGATATATAGTATTTTCTGAATGGAATCAGTAAGCCATTAACAAGTGGAATGTCATTGTCAAATATGATTGTGTGAACTGTGATTCCCTGAAGAATTTGAAGCTGATTAGATATTTTTAACAAAGTAGAATTTCTATGTAAATGATGTAAAGTTGAAACATATCTACCTGTGAATTTGAGAACAGGAATTGCCAGTATCCTCTGGGTGTTGGAAATATGTTGGTGGTGCAAACAGGGGTTGTTTCAATTACTTGTATGATGGTAGTCCAATTGGCAGAATAAGATTTGATTTTAGTTGAATTGAAAATTGTCATGGCCGTTGTTTCCTGCTAAAATATTAGCATGAATGTAAAAGAAGAATAGAAAAATTGGTTGTATGTAAAACTATCCAGGAAGAATAAAAGATTATATAGTTTTTATAAGTTGTAAGTTATAAAGTTGTAGAAGAAGAATGAAAACAGAAAGAGATGTGTAGGTTGAGAGTGAGTGCAGACTTGAGTGTTTTTTTCTGGGATGTTTGTGAGTCATAGGTGACGATTTATAGACAGAGAAGTCTTAGGTATATATAAAGAGAAATATAGATAGCAGGAAATTAGTGCATAAGGTAAAAACTGATTGTGTGGTACGCAATACTATGTTTGTAAGTCACGTAAAAAGATAGAGCAGCTAGCTTGTTAGTGATATGATTATGTGACTAAATTCACTGTAGTATAAGTTATGTTATTTGATGTATGTCAGAGTCAGTGAATCGTAGTTTGTTTGTAATGATTCTTGAGAAGTGTCAGTTTAGTGATATGAGTATGTGACCGAATTCACTGTGGTCTAGGTTATGTCATCTAATGAATCTCAAAGTCAGTGAATGGTAGTTTGTTCGTTTGTAATGATTCTTGAGAAGCGCAAGTTTAGTGATATGAGTATGTGATCGAATTCATTGTGGTATAAGTTATGTCATCTGCTGAATCTCAAAGTCAGTGAATGCTAGTCTATTTGTAATGATTTTTTGAAGTATAATTGTCTTTCAAAGATCTTTTGTTCAAATTTTTTGCCTAAGTTGACATGTTGCAGTAAAATTAAGCAGAGCTGAATAATGACTTGTGTGATGTTTTTCAAATTGATCAGACAAATAAGTTTGCATTTTCCATAAGTTTGCAGAATGTATAGGTTTGTCAGGAAAAAATTGGCTATCATGTCTATTCATGCAGTTAAAATGTTCAGTTAACGTAATTTACGTAGTTTATAGTGAAGATTGTGCTTGATGCGTTAGCATTTGGATAATGGATGAAATGTAAAATTACAAAATAGGCTTTAAGGAGATATCCATCAGATAGTTTCACATTGCCATTCCATAAGGTTTTTTTTCCCAAAGCATACAAAAGATATATTACGATCTGTTAAGTTTGTCAAGCAAAGGTAATGGATCGTAATATGTCAACAAAAGAAAGAGCTTAGACAATGTGACCAAAAAGCTATGTTTAACAAAAGATCTTTGCTGGTTTTGACATGATGATTACTCAGATTCAATGATGTTCTTCAGATTCTTTGATGGACTTAGTTATACATTTTTCTCTGAAAAGCTGCTTTCTGGTAGCAAAGTAGAAGCATGCACGTCAAGATGGGCTTGTGGGAGTTCTACTGATGTTTTCTGTGCAGAGGGAGTTAGAGTGGGTATGGTTTCTTGCTGAAAGGATAGGCTTCTTTTTGTTGAAATCTTTAAGCCTGAGTTGTCATGGACAGCAGAAACAGCTGCAGTAATTTCTTCAAGTACCAATTTGGTTGTTAGAGAAAACATTTGTTCCTCTGGTTTGTGCTTTGTTCCAGGATTGGTGATGCAAGAAAGTTGGTTTGGATTTTTGAAATATTGTCACGTTTACAGCTAGCAATATTTGAGGCAATTCTTGCACATTGTAGGCTTGGACAATGGTGTTCTTTTTTTGTGACTAGCCATGATATTGTGTATCATAAGAGCGAACAAAGCAGATAAGTGCATGCTTGCTGATAGATTCTGCAAGTTCTATATCTAAAGACACTCTCTGTATGATTTGTTCAACATAGAAATTATATCAGATTTTTTATATTTGATTGACAGCACGTTACAACATTTATACCATAGGATCATAATAAAGTACCTTACGTGGACGATACTGTAATTTGCTAGCTAGTATGGTAGAAGACTTGCAGCATAGCAATAATTTTTATAATGAGTGATTTTAACAGAGAATAATGTATATTCTACAAATACAGATGAAGTTGCAATTCTATGTTCTGTTTACTTAGTTTGTCTTAAAGGAAAAACAAGTACTGCAGAGGAAAAATTGGTCACGTAGTCTATGTAGGTTGACAATTTAAGTTTTTTATAAACTTACATTTTGATATGCATCTTGAGGCTAAACAGTAGTATAAGGAATCAGCTTCTCAGCATTTGGAGTATGGATAGTACAGTTCATGCTTCCACTCTGGTCAGTCAGCTTAATTCCAATACGGCACCTGAAGTATTCTGAAGTTAGTTTAGTAACAAAGTTGAAAAATGTAATATGTAAAATAATCTATTATTTTCTAATTTTTATTGATATTACGTCAACTTAGTTCAACATGAGTGGATTCATTACATGACGGGCAGGTTATAATCCATTCTATTTGAGTATTGACATTCTTGTGACAATTCATGCAAGTTGTGAACCAACACTTTGGTTGTCTAAGAATGTAACTCGTAGTAGTTCGTATCCAAGCAGTTTTTTGTTGTAGAAAAAGATTCGCTGTTATAAATTTTGAAGGATTTTGCCAAAATTAGCAACATTAGTTTATTAAATGTCAGTAAACTGATCATTGTAGCTGATAAATGTCTATCTGTGTGTGTGTGAATGGAACTTACAATATCAAATGAAGCTAGTACATTACATATCTCTTTAATGTCTTCCTCCTTTGGAGGAGGAAGCAAGATGGAAGGATCTTTCTATGTTTTTGCCTCAAGTAGCTCTTTCAGTTCTTGTTTGTGATCAAGATACCTAGACAGAAGAAAGTAAGATACAGGTAGCTATATGGCAATAGTTAAGGGTCCAAATAAATAGATTTTGTTCACCATTGATTAAGCTACATTTGTGGAGGTAGGAAGATTGTAAAGGAAACAAGATGATAACCAAGAGGTTAAGGAAAGAGCTGAAAAAGAAGCACAAAGTTAAGAGATAATATCTATATGAGAATAATTGCTAAACTGTAATTCTGTATGTAAAATGTATGCTTCAGCTAAAGGTTGTCACTTTAACCCTCATTGTTATAATTAGTGGTGTTGAACCAATGCTGTTCACAATCTTTGTGTCATCATCTTTTTCAAACTCATTCCAAAGAGTGAGTAGCATCAGCTTTTTCCTTCAAATAAAAGGAAAATAAGCTACAACAGACTATTTAAAAATTTTCGGAAGTTATATTCAAGCTCATAATAATAGTAGTTAACTGTTCATTCACAATCACAAAATCTCTTGTTGTATTGTTGCTCTGCTGTTTCTGAGGAAAAGCATGTATAACAACTGTCTTCACATCTGTGTTTAAAAAGAGAAATAATCAGTTGACAATAATTTTGTTCAAAGTAGAAATAGTGCTGCTATAACCGATAAGGTATGAAATTTGAATTTGTATTGGTAACTTACTTCGTAGAAACAGTGCTGCTATAACCGATAAGGTATGAAATTTGAATTTGTATTGGTAACTTACTTTGTAGATTTTCTGTATTAGCATATTTATGTAGATCATCAAACTGAGTGAGTTCAAATAGACATGGTAGTGCTAGTGGAACTGGTTCTTCATAAGACTCGATCAAAGTGTCATTGTTAATAGCTCATGAAAATAGATAATCATCAATTCTGAAGTTGACAGAAGTATCCATCAGTGAAGCATTTGGAATATGATATCTCCTGAATGGCCAAAGCATGTGGTAGAATTGCCTGATGCAAGCAACGTAAAGGACAGCAGATACTCTTGTTCCCTATTTATTGATATATAAGAGACATTGTTATCTAAAAATTAAATTAACCAAAAATAGGTAGATATTATATAGCATGCTATCCCTGAGAGTCAGTCAACAAGAATCGACGAAACTTTTTGTATAGTGCAGTACGTGCTATATGCATATTTCCTCTTTCAATAACCTGAACAAGGACAGTCCATGGTCCAGTTTGTTTATTGACATTGAGTATGTCAAACAAACGCCTGCTCATCTTGTCCTGAAATAATAACAACAAAACAAAGTCAGGGTACATATGAATCTTGATCTGACATTTATGCAATTCATAACAGAAAAAATGCAGGAAGTAAAGTTCGATATTTACTCTCAGATAAGTAACAAGACTGGTCCAATACTTCTCTATAAACTATATTTTTTGTGCAATCAATATCATCTGAGCTAAAATACTCTGGTTTAATCAAAACTCAAACAGCATTTGATGTTCTAGCACAGGACAAAGCAACATATAATTGTCCGTGGGAGAAGACAGGTTCCTTCAAATACAGACCAACAAAATCAAGTGCTTGTCCTTGAGATTTGTTGATAGTCATAGCAAAACATAAACGAACAGGAAACTGAGTCCTTTTGTAAGGAACAGTGTATTGCTCACCATTTGTAGATTGCAAAGGAATCCTATGTATGAAGACTTCTTTGCTAGCAAAGAGACCAACTGCTATTTCTGCATGAATGACATTTTTAGTCAAGGACTTGCAGGTCAGTCTTGTTTTATTGCATAGCCCTTCAGTTGGATCAAGATTTTGTAACAAAATTATTGGTGCATGTGGCTTAAGCACAAGCCTGTGAAGAGGAAAACCACTTTGACTTAATGTGTTAAGGAAATCAACATACTCAGCTTGATGATTTAGGTCAAGTGTTTGATTGAAACTGATGTATTCAATGCTTTCTCCTGGAAACTTTTCTATCATCATATCATTGATTTCATCAACAAAGTGATTTTTTGTTGTCAATATTGCTCTGTTCAAAGACAAAGCTGCATTTTCTAATATACTGTTAATATCAGGATAGATAACATCCCATTAGTCTTTCAAGTGAATCAATTTCATTGGTGTACTTGATCAAAATTGAAGATGGTATAACAACTGAATCACCATTATGTACCTGTTCTAAACCATTTCATATTTGCAATATAAACTGTGTAAACAATGGATCTAATTTTGCTCTCATGTTTTCAGTTAATTGTAGAATTAATGAAGCATGCATTAATTGTTTCAGCCTTAGTTCCACTACGAATAATCGGTAATGTTTGCCTGAAATCTCCTCCAAAAATCACTACCTTTCCTCCAAAAATTTCATTTAAGTTCATGATGCCTTTAAGCAGATCATCCAATGCTTTAATAGCTGCTCGTTTACATATTGAAGCCTTATCCCAAATGATAAACTTTGATTCTCTGATCAAAGTTGCTAGAGAGCTTTGCTTACTGATGCGACAAGTTCCTCCATCAGATATATCTATTGGAATTTTGAATCGTGAGTGAGCTATTCTTCCTCCAGGAAGAATTGAAGCAGCTATTCTAGATGTTGCGGTAGCGAGTGCAATATGACCTTTTGATTTTATATCAGCGAGTAATACACGATATAAAAAAGTTTTTCCGGTACCTCCCGAACCATCAACAAAGAAAGCACCACTTTTGTTGTTGTAAACTTTTTCATAGATGACATTAAATGCTTCTTTTTTTCTTTTGATTCAATAGAACACAAGCATCCAAATCAGCTGCTGCAACAATTATGTTTCTTTCTGCATTTAACTCTATTGTCAGACTTTCCATATCATCCATTGAGAAATCATGGGGGTACAAGTTGAATGAATAAATGTTTTTCCCCATAGATTGTAAGAAGCCATTTATTTGATCAAGTACCTTTGTCCTAACTTGCCTTGCTGTTAAGCTTCTACATCTAAGAAAATCTTTAGATACTGGCGGATCATTGGGGCATGAATAAACCAGCAGTGTTGCAAACAATTTTCTCATTTCATATGGCCAATGAAAGTGAGAAGCTTCTTGCAAACAAAGTTCCTGGTTGTCATCATGCTCCAGTAATCCCCTCAACAGCACTGCTTCACGGAAAGTCTACACTTGAACTCCACCAAAAGTTCTGAGATCTGCAAATGACGTTGGACACTGACTTTTGTCAACAACAGTCTCAGATAATATCTTTCACCTTCACAAGGATGTGCAGCAACTATTCTACCTATAGAATCTCTCTGCTCACGAATTTTCCACATTCTTTGGCTTGGTTTCCAAACAAAATTTTCTGGAAATTCCACAGAGGTGTAATTCAGATCCTCAACTTCCTTATTCATTCTGTTCATGTAAAAGAATTCAGTTAACATTGTTCTTCTTAGGTGAGTGTTACTCAGAACATTATGTAGGTCAGTGTTCTTCTTGAAGCTTATCGGTTGCTGATTTTCCAGATGCAACTGTAAGTGGATAACAGCTGGCTTTATCTCGCTACTTGGAAACCTGTAAATTCTCCAAGTAGCCTTTGGAGGAGATATCCATCTTGTTGACACATACTATTTGATTTCATCAATCTCACAATGTGGAGTATCAGCAATAACTCGAAAGCCAGTTCTGTCATGTCCCTTACAAATGTACTTGTATATATATTTGACTACCTTTACTGTTGAGCATCTCTCAACATTGATGTGGCAGTCAATTTTTGCAAGTAGATAGGCGTTATAAGGGACAACCCAACGATTATCGAACCATACATTCCACACTTTAACTTTAATGCCATTATCTCTTTGTCTATACTTTGGATATGCATCAGCAGTTTAAATGGTTGCATCGCAAAAGTCTTTTGGATAAGAGTTTTTACATAGTCCATTTTTTTCATACAGACATTCTGTGGATTTGCTGAACCACAAGGACCATGAAGCATATCTTTAATTATCATTTTACATAGATGGAAAAATTTCTGCTTGTCAGGTATCTTGGCACAAACTATCTTGTCATATTCATCTGCAGTATATAGCTTGTACTTAGATTTGAGAATCAAAAGGAAATGCGAGTGAGGCATACCTCGTTTTTGATACTCAATTACATATGTATAAGCAGCAATCTCACCAAAAATGTGCTTCTTAAAAAGTTCACCTTTCAACTTTTCTAACTTAGCATGAAAGACTCTCGAAATTAAATCTGGCCGATTCTGTGTTTCATCTGTGGGAATCAAATGCTCATTTATTTCTGGCCAATTAGGATTGCAAGTCATTGTCAAAAACAGATCAGGTTTTCCAACTTTTGCACTAAAGTCATCGCATCCATGTATCTGCGACGCATATTTCTATGACCTCCTATGAAACCTGGCGGCAACATAATTCGTTGGCCAATATTTGACCCTTGCGTTTCTCTAGTAGCCACTGCATCCATTATGCCATTAAAAAATTCTCTCCTGATTTCTTCCTGTTGTGACCTGAAAAAGTCAAGTCTTTGTTTCTCAATCTTCACATAGGCATCAACAACATACTGCTGGAACAATCTACACAAATACAGGATCAGAGATTCAGAGTTGTACGCGAAATATTCCCTCAACGAAACAAAAACTGGATCCTGTTCCAATCTATGCATTGCTGTAGGACGACACCGTATAACCATTTAGAATGACTAAAAACTCGGTATTTATAATAATAGATGACTAACTTTTAGTTTTGACTAACCAATTTCTTCATTGTAGAGCAGTTCATCAGAACTTAAAGCACCTATTGGTGCAATCATTTCAGCTGATTCTTTTTTCCCTGTCTGTTTTATGTTTCTTGCTTTCAAGCCTTTCTTTGGAATTCCTTGATGCCAACCAAGCTCTCCAAATGGAAACATTAAAGGGTACTTATGACGGCTCCACCTCCCTCTAAGGTGAACCAAAGGATTTAGCGGACCGCCTGCCTAGCTCTCGCCAGGACTACGGGGACGAATCACACAAACCTTACATTTCGCGCGATAGAACCCTAAGAAAATGATCAATTGAAAACCACCACGCTCAAAGATAACTTACCAAATCCATAAGAGAACAACATCTCAAATGAATACACTGAACAACCAAGGTTAAATACTCATTTACATCAGAGTCTTGAACAAATTAATAAAAGTACAAGCCAAAGTATCCATACTATTCAAAATATAATTAGGGTTTCGGTTGAAAAAGAGCTTAACAAAATAACATATACACTAGTTTGACCCTTTCTTCCAAACCCATAAGTCCAAAGTGAGTTCAAAGTTTGACCCCCCTGAAAGGAAAATAAAAATAACGGAAAAGGGGGTGAGTTTACGCTCAATGAGGTACCAGATAATAGCAGTCAAGAATCATGGAATTTCATGTTCAATTTGTCAAATATATATATCAAATAAGAGGATGAGCAAACAACTTAGATAGAAAGGATACAGGTGGCTCTCAGGAGCCCAACATTCCCATAGCAGTACTTGATCCAAACTCGTGACTCTCCGTCAACGTATAAAGAATAACCATGTCCGTAGACCCCACTTTACACCAAATCCCGTCCACCACACATACCCCCTTACCAGGCCCGAACACCTCAACAGAAATAGAAGTGGTAATACTCGAGTATATCAGAATCAAGAGTTTCAATACCAAAAGATTCCCGGAAACAGACTATCGTGGTTTGTTATCTCATCGACCAGCCCCTTGTCAGCTCGACTCAAGTAACTAGCCATAGGTTTTGAGCTCAGAGGTCGCAAACTTATACAAAGAATAGATACACAGATAACAGATACAGAGAGCAAATACAGACTTATATAGTATGCAGGAAATAAAGTAAACAGACGAGAGAAACGAGAGTGATAAATTACACCCTCGTTTCATACAGAGCATACAAAAGTCACGGATAGCCAGATAAGCAACACATTAGGGAAATGGTACACTTACCAGTTCAAGTATAGGTGCTTCAAAATTTTCACTCAAAGTGGCCTTAATCACCGTGAAACCTTAAGAATAACAAAGGTAAAGTAGTTGAAGTTTCCACATTCAAAACCGAGTAAACGAGATACACAAGTGAGGCTCGATTACTAGTCGAGTGCCTCTCCAAGTTATATACTAGTATAAAAGAATAAAAATGTAATTTTTTGAGCAGACAAATAACAGTTGGTACGAGGGTTACAAATAACCCCAAACCCCCTCATTCTACCACAATGCAACTCCAACTTAAAGGAATCAAACGGCCTAGAAAATTGGACAGCATTTTCCCCTAAATTTCCTTACTTTTCCAGCTATCATGGCTTCATTTTTCCTCAAATCAGCTCCAATGTCACACAAAAAATAATCTTATTTTAATAGCCGTTCAATAGGCTCAATATCGTATAAGTACAAAATCAAGTTAGGAAAATATCCGGAAATGAAGTTTAAGCCATAAAACAAAAGACAGATTTGACGTCGCTTAGCGAATCAGACACAACCGAAGATATGCTTATCGAATTGGTGTGCAATTTATACCATTTCGAAGCTAAGATAAAGGACTACAACTTTGATGAAGACTACTCATTCCAGTTCATTGTGTAACCAGATCAAAATTTCAAATTACAAAACCAGAGTCTCACAATCAGGCTAGTTAACCGCACGATGCTTAAACGACAATAACTCAGGCTACCGAAGTCCGATTGAGGCATTTTTAGGGCCGTTGGAAAGATAAGACATTGCACTACAACTTTTATGTTTTGGCCAAATGTTAATTCAGTACGGATCAGAGTGAATAGACGCGGTCAGATTGATGAAATGTCAACACTGTCCACAGAGCTCTACCTATGGCAGTCAGGAGTATTTTTGTCTTTTCACATGATACAGTAATAGGATTGAGCTGAAATGTTACAGGCCGTTATAAAACATCATTTCCTACAACTTTCATGTTTTAATCTAAGATTGATTCGGCCTCCATCATGGCCAAAACAGAACTGGATAGAACAGGGTAAGATGAAACCCTAAACTGGAATTTCTGCACAAATTCTGAAATTTTTCGCAAACAACCGCAATTAACGCACAAAGGCTCCATTTAACACAATACAGAGCTATCAATCTAAGGCCAACCATAACCATCATATGAAAATAGAAAAATCCCCAAAAAAATCAGAAATTTATCTAATTCCACTTTAATCCATGAAATCTTCCACAAAACAACTTATTTAGCTACCACAAGTCATTAATAAATCAGTATTAGGAACAAACAATGAGTTTCTACATCACATACCTTGACACCTCAAGAAAGTTAGTAGCTTAGGGTTCCCTCTTCCAAAACAACTGCACCACCTTCTTTAATCCTACCTAGCAAAGGATTTTTATGGAGTGATTTCAAGTTTTGGTGGTTGAATCACAAGATTTGTGCAAGAAATGGAAGAAGTAGTTGAAGCTTTCTCTTGTTTTCTCTCTTTACGAAGTTCGGCCAAGAGGTTGGAAATAAAGATGATTTTTGGGTCAAAATTGAAGTTTTAGTAAAGGTAAGAAAGTTAGGCAAGTCCAACTTTGAATAGGAAAGTAACACTTGGCACCTTAGGGTTTCATTCTCGTCCTTTGTCTACCAATGGTAATTTATCTATCTAACTTTTAATTGTCTTCTAGCACATTGTAAACTAATAACACTTCGCACAAAAATCACTTAATCACCAAAATTTTATCGCACTAGTGGGTCCCACATCTATAATACGTTTCAAATTTAACATACACCAACTTATACTAGGAAAATGATTTAAAACTGTACTTACTTGCTTATAAAAATACATAGAAACTTTAATATTTTAAAGGCAAATATAAAAATGTAGGCAAAAATACAATAATGCCTAGAAAATGTGAAAATTTTCGGGTTCTCACACTCTCTCCCCCTTAAAGAAATTTCATTCTCGAAATTTTTTTTTCAACGAGATCAATTAAACTCTAAGGTAACCAACGGATCGTACCTTTTACGTCCTCAGACGAGTCAGGGACCTGATGGTGATCTAGAGAATACACCTAAGCCGGTACCTTTGATCCAGTCCCTTCCTCTTCCGACTGTCCCGGGTTAGTTTTAGTTGGTTGCTAGGTCCCTTTTCCTTTTCGCAATCGAATTGGGAAGTCAGCAATCCGATGATCGGCACTTTCACATCACAAACACTTTCTTTCTTTTTTCCAACAATTCCCTTCCGTATGATTTGGCCCTCCGCAATATCCACAGGGACTACGAGTAGCAGAGACCGAACCTCCCGGTGAGACACCACTTGACATCCCCGGTTGTCATACTTCCCTGTTTCCCTTTCCAATCTTAGGGAGTGTACTTTTACCCTCTTGCTCGGAGCTATTCCCAGGAAAGCCCTTTTCTTGGTTTGGAAGTTTCTCACCTGTAACCTCGCATTTTCAACCCGCTGGGCTTTCTCCACAGCATCACTAAAAGCGCTAAGTTGGGCTACAACCAGATCCTTCTGAATCTCAACATTGAGTCCCTGGACAAAACAGCTTATATGCCTTTGCTCAGTTACAATCAATTCGGGCGCAAACTTAGATAACCGAGTAAATTGACTCTCATATTCGGCTACGGTCTGGGTTCCTTGACGAAGGTGAATGAATTCATCTTCCTTCTTTTCTTGGATTAGAGGAGGGAAAAACTTGGCGTTGAATTCCCTCATGAAGTTCGCCCACTTCCTCGGTGTTTGTTCTCGTTCCCATTTAAGCCTTATGATATTCCACCAAGAACGGGCTGCTCCCTCCAGTTGGAAGATAGTAAATGTCACCTGTCTCTCCTCAGTGTAGTGTAACGCGATAAAAATATCGATCATCTTTTCCAACCACCTCTCGGCCACGTCAGGATAAGGGCCTCCAAGAAATTTTGGTGGGGAGAACTTCTGAAATATTTCAAGAGCTCTATCCTGCCCCTCTATATGGTTACCAGGACTTCCAGATTGAGGATTAGGGTTTTGGCCCTAGTGTTCTACTACATGGGCTAGCAGATCAGTCATGCACTGGATAGCAGCGACTACTTGAGCATTTGGGTCAACCTTAGGTTCAGGATTTAATTCAGATATTGGTTCTCGGTTACCCCTTTCATTCGAGGGTTACTTACGTCCGCGCCCACGACTTCGTACACTACGAGTACTCTTTATTGGTCTAACCAATCCAGGGTCGAAGCGAAAATATAACATTAAAGATAATTATAGGCATAAGCAAGTAACAAGAGGTATACACAAATCAAAAACATATATACATAACACAACTATACCGAACCAGTCACACAGTAGCAGTCAGCTAGATACAACCAAAAGAGATCCATGAAGGTAGCGGGGGCATCCAAAAATACTATAGACGAACTAGGTCGAAGCACAAAAGCAACTAACGAAAAGCTATTTCCCCTCTAGGCCTTCATCTATAATCTACAAGAATACCACAATTTATATCTTAATCCAGGTTAATCATGCTTACTAACACCCGAACAAATCACATGAAGTTCCATAGAATCACATTTCCAATTCGCCCAAGTCCTTTCTAACCTATGCTCTCATCTATGTAGTAGCTGGGCGCAAAAATCCCCAGATAGGATAATTTACCACTCGAGCCCACCGGTTCCAAGAGTAAATCATCCATATTAAAGATTCCTATCCGACATACATATATATCTTCCTCAGGTATCATGATAAAGATTTTTACACTTATAATGTGCATGGTTCATAGCTTATGCTCAAAAGAACACTTATACCTTTAGACACATTCACGAAATCAGGACCGTAACACCACTTGGCCCAAGCTAACTGCACGCAGAAACCATGCGAAGCAGCTCTGATACTACCTGTGACGGCCCCACCTCCCCCTAAGGCTAACTAAAGGGTTCAGCGGACCGCCTGCCCAACTCTCG